AGGAGAATGTGCAGTTCTGGGGATGGGGACGGAAAACTCAGCAGCGCTGGCCCATTGCTCTGACTTACTAAACCCTTGTGTGGGGAACCCTGTGCACCCCATTACATTTAGGGCCCCTTTATCAGCCAGGAGACCTCTCTGATCAGTGGCGTGTGTCCTGAACCCCAATAAACTGTTAACATAAGACTTTCCTTGTTGTCTATGAGCTGGATTTGAAGTGGGGACAGTTAGCACCGCAACGTAGAACTTGAGGTGGCAGCAGTAGTAGGTTGTTATCCGTTGTGCGAATGGACCAATAGAGGGGTACAAGAGTATCCCTTTGCAATGCATTACACTGAATGTATTGAAAAGGCAGGTTATTATCTCAGCCTCGGGGATCAGGGGTGATAATGAACAAGCAACTCAACATGAGCTCCCAGTGCGATGCCGTGGCAAAAATCGCAAACGCAATCCGTGAATGTGTAAACGGGAGCTGTGAGCAGGGGAAGGCAGGAAATTTAATCTCTGTATACAGCACTGGTGAGGCTGACACTGGACTAGTGATTCCACTTCTTGTGCCCACATTTTAAAAAGGGAGGGGGGAAATCAGATGTCGAAAAATCAGAGAGGGGCGGAGAAGATCCACGAAAATGATTGGTGGCTGGAGAAAAGGCCTCACTGTGAGAGATTTAACAAGCTCCATCTGTTTAGTTTTTTAAACAGAAGATTGAGAGATGTCTTGGATCTGCCCTGGGAGGAAATACCAGGTGCTAAATGCTTCTTTAAGCTAACAGAGAAAGGCAGGACAAGGACCAATGGCTGCAAACTGAAGCCAGACAAATTTAAATGAGACATAACGCACAGGTTTTCTAACAGTGAGAGTGATTAACTCTGGGACCAAATTCCCTCGGGAAGCGCTGGATTCGCCATACTTAATGTCTTTGGGCCATTGCTGTCAAGCGATTAAAAACATTAATCGTGATTAATCACGCTGTTAAACGATAATAGAATACCATTTAGTTAAATATTTTTGAATGTTTTCTACATTTTCAAATATATTGATTTCAATTACAACACAGAATACAAAGTGTACAGTGCTCACTTTATATTTATTTTTGAATAAAATATTTGCACTATAAAAAACTAAAGAAATAGTATTTTTCAATTCACCTAATACAAGTACTGTAGTGCAATCTCTTTATCATGAAAGTTGAACTTACAAATGTAGAATTATGTACAAAAAATAACTGCATTAAAAATAAAACAGTGTAAAACGTTAGAGCCTACGAGTCCACTCAGTCCTACTTCTTGTTCAGCCAATCGCTCAGACAAACAAGTTTGATTGCAATTTGCAGGAGATAATCACAGAACTGGAAGAGACCACAAGAGGTCGTCTAGTCCAGTCCCCTACACTCCTGGCAGGACTAAGCATTATCTAGATCATCGCCGACAGGTGTTTGTCCAACCTGCTCTTAAAAATCTCCAATAATGGAGATTCCACAACCTCCCTAGGCAATTTATTCCAGTGCTTAACCACCCTGACAGTTAGGAAGTTTTTCTTAATGTTCAATCCTAAAAGGCCCTTGCTGCAATTTAAGGCCATTGCTTCTTGGCCTATCCTTAGAGATTAAGAAAAAACATTTTTCTCTCTCCTCCTTGTAACAACTTTTTATGTACTTGAAAACTGTTCTCATGTACCCCCTTACTCTTCTCTTCTCCAGACTAAACAAGCCCAATTTTTTCAATCTTCCCTCTTAGATCATGTTTTCTAGCCCTTTGATCATTTTTGTTGCTCTTCTGTGGACTTTCTTCAATTTGTCCACATCTTTCCTGAAATGTGGCGCCCAGAACTTGACACAATACTCCAGTTGAGGCCTAATCAGCGCGGAGTAGAGCAGAAGAATTACTTCTCATGTCTTGCTTACAACACTCCTGCTAATACATCCCAGAATGATGTTTGCTTTTTTTGTAACTGTGTTACACTGTTGACTCATATTTAGCTTGCGGTCCACTATGACCCCCAGATCCCTTTCTGCAGTACTCCTTCCTAGGCAGTCATTTCCCATTTTGTAGGTGTGCAATGGATTGTTCCTTCCTAAGTGGAGTACTTTTCATTTGTCCTTATTGAATTTCATCCTATTTACCTCAGACCATTTCTCCAGTTTGTCCAGATCATTTTGAATTTTAATCCTATCCTCCAAAGCACTTGCAACCCCTCCCATCTTGAAATCGTCTGCAAACTTTATCAGTGTACTCTCTATGCCATTATCTAAATCATTGATGAAGATATTGATCAGAACCGGACCCAGAAATTGTTATGCCCTTCCAGCATGACTGTGAACCACTGATAACTCCTCTCTGGGAACGATTTTCCAACCAGTTATGCACCCACCTTATAGTAGTTCCCTTTAGGTTGTATTTCCCTAGTTTATTTATGAGAAGGTCATGCAAGACAGTATCAAAAACCTTACTAAAGTCTAGATATATTACATCTACCACTCCCTCCCGCCCCCCTCCCCCATCCACAAGGCTTGTTACCCTGTCAAAGAAAGCTATCAGGTTGATTTGATATGATTTGTTCTTGACAAATCAATGCTGACTGTTATTGATCACCTCATTATCTTCTAGGTGTTTGCAAATTGATTGTTTAATTATTTGCTCCATTATCTTTCTGGGTATAGAAGTTAAGATGACTGGGCTGTAATTCCCCTGGTTGTCCTTAGTTCCTTTTTTTTTAGATGGGCACTATATTTGTCCTTTTCCAGTCTTCTGGAATGTCTCCCATCTTCCATGACTTTTCAAAGATAATCGCTAATGGCTCAGATATCTCCTCACTCAGCTCCTGGAGTATTCTAGGATGCATTTCATCAGGCCTTGGTGATTTGAAGACATGCTGCCTGCTTCTTGTTTACAATGTTACCTGAAAATGAGAACAGGTGTTCGCATGGCACGGTTGTAGCTGGGGTCGCAAGACATTTACGTGCCACATGCGCTAAAGATTCCTATGTCCCTTCATGCTTCAACCACCCTGATGACGGATTCTGCTTGATAACGATCCAAAGCAGAGCAGACTGACGCATGTGCATTTTCATCATCTGACTCAGATGCCACCTGCAGAAGGTTGATTTTCTTTTTTTGATAGTTCGGGTTCTGTAGTTTCTGCATCTGAGTGTTGCTCTTTTAAGACTTCTGAAAGCATGCTCCACACCTCGTCCCTCTCAGATTTTGGATGGCACTTCAGATTCTTAAACCTTAGGTTGAGTGCTGTAGCTCGCTTTAAAAGTCTCACATTGGTAGTTTTTTTGCGTTTTGTCAAATCTCCTGTGAAAGTGCTGGGTCATCATCCGAGACTGCTATAGCATGTGGCAGAATGCAGGTAAAACAGAACAGGAGACATGCAATTCTACCCCAGGGAGTTGAGTCACAAAATTAATTAACGCATTATTTTTTTAACAAGCATCAGCATGGAAGCATGTCCTCTGGAATGGTGGCCAAAGCGTGAAGGGACATATGAATGTTTAGCGTATCTTGCACATAAATACCTTGCAAGGCCGGCTACAAAAGTACCATGCAGACACCTGTTCTCACTTTCAGGTGACATTGTTAATAAGAAGCAGGCAGCAGAAAAGGACCTGGGGATTATAGGGGATGAGAAGCTGGATATGAGTCAGCAGTGTGCCCTTGTTGCCAAGAAAACTAATGGCATATTGGGCTGCATTAGTAGGAGCATTGCCAGCAGATCGAAGGAAGTGATTATTCCCCTCTATTCGGCACTGGTGAGGCCACATTTGGAGTTTTGGGCCCCCCACTAGAGAAGGGATGTGGACAAATTGGAGAATCCAGTGGAGGGCAACAAAAATGATCAGGGGTTTGGGGCATATGATTTACGAGGAAAGGCTGTGGAAACTGGGTTAGTTTAGTCTGCAGAAGAGAAGAGTGAGGGAGGATTTGTTAGCAGCCTTCAACTACCTGAAGGGCGGTTCCAAAGAGGATGGAGCTTGGCTGTTCTCAGTGCTGGCAGATGGCAGAACAAGGAGCAAAGGTCTCAAGTTGCAGTGGGGGAGGTCTAGGTTGGATATTAGGAAACACTGTTTCTCTAGGAGGGTGGTGAAGCACTGGAATGGGTTACCGAGGGAGATGGAGGAATCTCCATCCTTAGAGGTTTTTAAGGCCCAGCTTGACAAAGCCCTGGCTGGGATGATTTAGTTGGGGTTGGTCCTGCTTTGACCAGAGGATTGGACTAGATGACCTCCTGAGGTCTCTTCCAACTCTAATCTTCTATGATTCTATGATTATCTCCCTTAAATGTAAACAAACTTGTTTGTCTTAGCGATTGGCTGAACAAAAAGTAGGACTGGGTGGACTTGTAAGCGCTAAAGTTTTACACAACCACACTCAAAAATAAAACAATGTAACAAAAAAAATCTAAATTTGTAAGTTACACTTTCACAATAAAGAGATTGCACTACTGTACTTGCTTGAGGTGAATTGAAAAATACCATTTCTTTTGTTTATCATTTTTACAGTGCAATTATTTGTAATAAAAAATAATATGAAGTGAGCACTGTACACTTTGTATTTTGCATTGTAATAAAAATCAATATAATTTCAAATGTAGAAAAACATCTAAAATATTTAATAAATTTCAATTGGCATTCTATTGTTTAACAGCGCAATTAATCACAATTACGTTTTTTAATGGCGATTAATTTTTTTGAGTTAATCGCGTGAGTTAACTGCGAATAATCGACAGCCCTATTTCAGGCCTTAAAATCTATCAGTCTATGAAAGAGGGGTGGGGACTATTGGGTATCTGAGGATATTAAGGCCGGGAGAAGCCATGACTGTGGGTCTCACATGGTGACGGATGCACTGAAAACACCTAGATGGACACAGTGAGAGGTTAGACAGGGCATTGTCTGTTGCAATTTGGCCCATGGTACGTTCTGACGGCTTTAAAGGAGAAGCTGCATAATTAAAATAACCCACCCTGAGTGACCGTCTCTGTTCCTTCCTGGTAGGTGGAGACACAGCAGTCTCGCTGCTGATTGTCCAGAAAATGGCAGAAGAGCGCGCCGAAGCGACAAGCGATACCAGTAAATACTAAATACTTTGGTCTTAATTAAAAGGGAGCCTGCGGTGTGATTGGCAGAGGGACAAAAATACTGAGGGTGGGTTGCCCCCTCTTTTTTATGAGGGATAAAGACAGGAAACAAGGAGTTTTTGTTGCTCGTTGGTTTATGCTTGTTTTTAATGTTAGCAATTTGGGTCTTTTCCACCCTGAAGAACTCTGGCCAACAGGAGAACTGGTGGAGTGAAAGGCTGAAAATTTGGAATACTGTGTGTACCCCATCTCGGAAAGGATATTGTAGAACTAGAGGGGTTCGGAGAGAGGTGACGAGAAGGATCAAGGGCCTGGGAAAACTCTCCTGTGAAGGAGCTTGAAAAGACGGAGACTGTTACCTTGGAGAGGAGACGGGTACAAGGGACAGGATAATGGGTGGGATAGAGAGGGTAGATCTGTGTCTAGAACAAGGGGACACTCAATGGAATGGAAAGGTGGGAACTTCAAACTGATCAGAGGAAACAATTTTTCACAAACTGGGTACTTAGATGGTGGAACTCACTGCTAGGTGACATCAACCAAGAACTTAGCAGAATTCCAAGAGGGATTGGAGATTTCTGTGGAGAACAGGAAGAGCCAGAGTTGTTATAATGCTAACAAAAATGTTGGCAGAGATTATCCTCTTACCAGCCACTAGAGGGGGACATGGCACACAATTTGTCAAATGCATTGCCATGCTTTCTAATCCACTTGGAGCCCCTTAACCAGGCCAAGGGAGGGCTGTGTGGGGTGGGGATAGCAAGATCTGGGGACTGCCAGTCACTTTGGGATATGCGGGGGGAGGAGAAGCAGTGATGGACACATTCAAAAGGCCTGGGCTTCGGACACAGAACTGGGCCCTGCATGGAGGGGACTGTATGATCTGACCTTAAACAACAGTTTCTTTTGCTTTCTGGTAGGTAGAGGGGTTAATGACTCAATGCTGCCGGGTCACGGACAAGAGGAAGGAAGGAGAAGAGATGTGGGTAAAGAATTATATTATTTTATTAGGTACAATATGGTAACATCGAGAGACAGCAGCTGAGCCCCATTGCGTGCTGCACAGACACACAACGAGAGACAGTCCCTGCCCCATCTGAGATCAGAGCCCTGTTGTGCCGGGCGCTGCATAGACACGCAGTGAGAGACAATCCCTTAAGGTGCCGTTCCTTTAGCTCGAGTGGTAATGGCTTGTGCCTTTAAATCCAGAAATCAGAAGTTCAATGTCTACTGCTTATGATTTTATGCCCTTTCTAAAGGCAAGTCCTGGGATATCGTGGTAGCCGCCAGATTAGCCCCGGTAACTCTGGGCAACCATGAAAATCTCTCTCCCAATCAACCAGCTCCTGGCGCCACGGTCCCTGATCGAGCAATCTGGGAAGTAAGAAGGTCCTTCAAAGCCAGTGAAGAGAGCTCAGGGACATTTTTTAACCTTGCGTCTGAAGTGGGCATTCACCCACGAAAGCTTATGCTTCAATACATCTGTTAGTCTTAGGACTGGTCTACGCTACGAGTTTAGGTCGAATTTAGCAGCGTTAAATCGAATTAAGCCTGGACAGGTCCACATGACGAAGCCCCTTTTTTCGACTTAAAGGGCCCTCTAAACCGGTTTCTTTACTCCACCTCCGACGAGGGGAGTAGCGCCGAAATCGATATTGCCATTTCGAATTAGGGTTAGTGTGGACAGAATTCAACGGTATTGGCATCCGGGAGCTATCCCAGAATGCTTCATTGTGACCGCTCTGGACAGCACTCTCAACTCAGATGCACTGACCAGGTAGACAGGAAAAGCCCCACGAACTTTTGAATTTCATTTCCTGTTTACCCAGCGTGGAGAGCACAGGTGACCACGCAGAACTCATCAGCACAGGTAACCGTGATGGAGTCCCAGGATCACAAAAGAGCTCCAGCATGGACCGAACGGGAGGTACTGGATCTGCTCGCCATATGGGGAGATGAATCAGTGCTAGCTGAACTCCGTAGCAGTAAAAGAAATGGCAAAATATTAGAAAAAGTCTCAGAGGCCATAACAGGGACACACAGCAGTGCCGCGTGAAAATTAAGGAGCTAAGGCAAGCCTACCACAAAGCCAGAGAGGCAAATGGAAGGTCCGGGGCAGAGCCACAGACATGCTGCTTCTACGCGGAGCTGCATGCCATGCTAGGGGGTGCAGCCACCACTACCCCAACCCTGTGCTTTGACTCCATCAATGGAGAATTACGAAACACGGAAGTGGGTTTGGGGGACGAGGAAGATAGCTCACAGCAAGGAAGCGGAGAAACCGGTTTCCCCAACAGCCAGGATATGTTTATCACCCTGGACCTGGAACCAGTAACCCCCGAACTCACCCAAGGTGTGCTCCCAGACCCTGAGGGTGCACAAGGGACCTCTGGTGCGTGTACCTTTGTAAATATTACACGTGGTTTAAAAGCAAGCGTGTTTAATGATTAATGATTAATTTGCCCTGGCAATCGCGGCCAGTACAGCTACTGGAAAAGTCTGTTAACGTGTATGGGGATGGAGCGGAAATCCTCCAGGGACATCTCCAGAAAGCTCTCCTTCATGTACTTCCAAAACCTTTGCAAAAGGTTTCTGGGGAGGGCTGCCTTATCCCATCTGCCATGGTAGGACACTTTACCACGCCAGGCCAGTAGCACGTAGTCTGGAATCATTGCATAACAAAGCATGGCAGCGTATGGTCCCGGTGTTTGCTGGCATGCAGACAACATCCATTCCTTAACTCTCTTTGTTATCCTCAGGAGAGTGATATCATTCACGGTCACCTGGTTGAAATGGGGTGATTTTATTAAAGGGACATTCAGAGGTGCCCGTTCCTGCTCGGCTGAACAGAAATATTCCCCGCTGTTAGCCATGCGGTGTGGAGGAGGGGTGAAGGGATCATCCCAGAGAGTTGGGTGTGTGGGGAGGAGAAGGGTTAGTTGGGTTTGTGCTGCATGTTAATCCGGAAACCGCAGCCCCTCCTTTTACATTGCAAACCCATTTTAAATGGCCAACCCAACGGGTGCTTGGTATGGGAAATGAGGGCGCTGCTGTTTGAAACCATTCCCACATGTTAAGAAGGTTAAAAAAGCCAAAGACTGTGGCTTACCATGGCTGCCTGCAAGCCGAAATCTGTTGCCTGGCACTGCGTGAGTGATCTCTCACACCAAACTGGCAGGCCCTCAATATAAGAGGAAAAATGCGACCTTGTAACGAAAGCACATGTGCTGTGTAACGTGAACAGCAAAATTTAATGAATTTAACGTGAAAGAGTGTACCCATTGTTCTCTAAAATGTGTCTTTTTAAACACCTTTCCCTTTTCCTCCACCAGCTGCAAATGTTTCTCCTTCGCAGAGGCTAGTGAAGATTAGAAGGAGAAAACGGCAGACTTGGGATGATATGTTCTCAGAGCTCCAGATGTCCTCCCACGCTGAAAGAGCACAGCAGAATGCGTGGATGCAGTCAATGTCAGAGTGCAAAAAAGCAAAATATGAACGAGAGGAGAGGTGGCGGGCTGAATCGCGGGCCGAAGAGAGCAAGTGGTGGGCTGAAGAGGATAGGTGGCATCAGATTGCTGACAGAAGGCAAGAGTCGATGCTCCGGCTGCTGGAGCATCAAACTCAAATGTTCCAGCGTATGGTTGAGCTGCAAGAAAAGCAGCAGGAGCAGAGACGGCCACTACAGCCCCTGTGTAACCAACAGCCCTCCTCCCCAAGTTCCATAGCCTCCTCACCCAGAGGCCCAAGAACGCGGTGGGGGGTCCTCCGGCCACCCAGCCACTCCACCCCAGATGATTGCCCAAGCATCAGAAGGCAACATCCCCAACGGTTATTTTCTGGTCCGGGAAGAAAGTCCCTTCCTCCAGCTTTCGAAACAGAGCAGAGTGCCTGAAGATGCGAGCATCATGTACCTTTCCCGGCCATCCCACGTTGATGTTAGTGAAACGTCCCTTGTGATCCACCAGGGCTTGCAGCACCATGGAAAAGTACCCCTTGCGGTTTATGTACTCGGTGGCTTGGTGCTCCGGTGCCAAGATAGACGGAACCCATATCCCTATCACCCCACCACAGTTTGGGAATCCCATTGCAGCAAAGCCATCCACTATGGCCTGCACGTTTCTCAGAGTCACTACCCTTGATATCACCAGGTCTTTGATTGCCCTGGCAACTTGGATCACAGCAGCCCCCACAGTAGATTTGCCCACTCCAAATTGATTCCCAACTGACTGGTAGCTGTCTGGCGTTGCAAGCTTCCACAGGGCTATCGCCACTCGCTTCTCAACTGTGAGGGCTGCTCTCATCCTGGTATTCTGGCGCTTCAGGGCAGCAGAAAGCAAGTCACAAAGTTCCATGAAAGTGCTCTTACGCATGCGAAAGTTTTGCAGCCACTGGGAATCATCCCACACCTGCAACACGATGCGGTCCCACCAGTCTGTGCTTGTTTCCCAGGCCCAGAATTGGCATTCCACAGCATGAACCTGCCCCAGTAACACCATGATTTGCACATTGCTGGGGCCCGTACCTTGTGTGAGGGCTGTGTCCATGTCAATTTCCTCATCACTTTTGTCGCCACGCTGCAATCGCCTCATCGGCTGGTCCTGGTTTTGCTTTGGCATGTCCTGGCTCTGCATATACTCCAGGACAATGCGCTTGGTGTTCATAGTGCTCGTAATTGCCGCGGTGATCTGAGCGGGCTCCATGATCCCAGTGCTATGGCGTCTGGTCTGAAAAAAGGCGCGAAACTGATGGAGGGAGGGAGGGAGGGGTGACTGACAACATGGCGTACAGGTACAGGGAATTAAAATCAACAAAGGTGGCTGTGCATCAGGGAGAAACACAAACAACTGTCACACAGAATAGCCCCCACAAAGATTGAACTCAAAACCCTGGGGTTAGCAGGCCGTTGATTTTACGGAGGGAGGGGGAAGCAAATGAATACATCTATTTTTTACATCTTAAGCTGGCAGCAGCATGACTGATAGCCCTTGGCATCTTCTGGGTGCTTGGCAGAAGATACTGTACTACAACTGCTAGCCATCATCGTCAAGACAGTTCAGTCGGACTGCCGGCAGGGCTGAGTCTCCAGGAGACAAAGCATGTCTGCCCAGGTGCCTCTGATTGAACTGGAATACGACAACGACGGATATTAATCTTACTGCCAAAAGGCAATTAGCTGCTGCTGTGTAGCAATGCAGTACCACGTCTGCCGGCACCCAGAGGACATATGGTGACGGTGAGCTGAGCTGAGTTGAGCGGGCTCCATGCTTGCCGTGGTATGTTGTCTGCACAGGTAACCCAGGTAAAAAGGTGTGAATCTATTGTCTGCTGTTGCTCTGATGGAGGGGGAGGGGCCTGACGGCATGTACCCAGAACCCCCCGCGACACTGTTTTGCATCATCAGGCATTGGGATCTCAACCCAGAATTCCAATGGGCGGCGGAGACTGCGGGAACTGCGGGATAGCTACCCATAGTGCAATGCTCCAGAAGTCGACGCTAGCCTCGGTACTGTGGACGCAGTCTGCCGACTTCATGCACTTAGAGCATTTTGTGTGGGGACACACACATTCGACGTTATAAAAATGATTTCTAAACAACCGACTTCTACAAATTCAACCTAATTTTGTAGTGTAGACATACCCTCAGTAATTCCCCTGTCCTGTACCCTCCTCTGAAGCTCTGATAGTGGCCACTGTAGCAGACAGGAGACTGGGCTAGACTGACCGTGCTCTGACCCAGTGTGGCAGCTCTTATGTTTACAACTTTCCCAAACAACTAAAAAATATATTTTCAATAAAAATTTCACCAAAAGATCAATGAAAAAAGAAAAAGCAAAAAAAACCCTTTTTTCCACCAAAAATGAAAAAGCCAAACAATTTTGGGTGAAAAAAATTGTTTTTCGGTTAAAAAAACAAACAAACAGGTTAAAAAATAACAGAGGGTCCTGTGGCACCTTTAAGGGTATGTCTACACTACGAAATTAGGTCGAATTTGTAGAAGTCGGTTGTTTAGAAATCGTTTTTATAAGGTCAAATGTGTGTGTCCCCACACAAAATGCTCTAAGTGCATTACGTCCATTGATGGAGTCATAGCACACGGTTGGGGTAGTGGTGGCTGCACCCCCTAGAATCGCATGCAGCTCCGCGTAGAAGCGGCATGTTTGCGGCTCTGCCACAGACCTTACGTTTGCCTCTCTGGCTTTGTGGTAGGCTTGCCTTAGTGCCTTAGTTTTCACGCGGCACTGCTGTGTGTCCCTGTTATGGCCTCGGTCCTTCATGGCCTTGGAGACCTTTTCTAATATTTTGCCATTTCGTTTACTGCTACGGAGTTCAGCTAGCACTGATTCGTCTCCCCATATGGCGTGCAGATCCCGTACCTCCCGTTCTGTCCATGCTGGAGCTCTTTTGCGATCCTGGGACTCCATCATGGTTACCTGTGCTGATGAGCTCTGCGTGGTCACCTGTGCTCTCCACGCTGGGCAAACAGGAAATGAAATTCAAACGTTCGCGGGGCTTTTCCTATCTACTTGGTCAGTGCATCTGAGTTGAGAGTGCTGTCCAGAGCGGTCACAATGAAGCACTGTGGGATAGCTCCCGGAGGCCAATAACGTCGAATTCCGTCCACACTACCCCAATTCCGACCCGCAAAGGCCGATTTTAGTGCTAATCCCCTTGTCGGAGGTGGAGTAAAGAAACCGGTTTAAAGAGCCCTTTAAGTCGAAAGAAAGGGCTTCGTCATGTGGACGTGTCCAGGCTTAATTCGATTTAACCCAGCTAAAGTCGACCTAAACTCGTAGTGTAGACCAGGCCTGAGTGATCCACTCCTGCCTTGGCTCCTGGCTTCTGGCAGTCAGAGGAGCATGGGGTTGTGTCCCTGACCATCTTGGCTAATGGCCATTGATGGATCCGTCCTCCAGGAACTTAGCTCATTCTATTTTGGAACCTAGTTATTTTTGGCCATCACCACATCCAATGGCAGGTGGATTATGCGCTATATGAAAAAGTATTTCCTCTTGTTTGTATTAACCCTGCTTCCTGTTAATTTCATCAGGTGTCACCTGGTGTTTGTGTTGTGGGAAGGGTAAATAACACTTCTCTATACACTTGTTCCACACCGTTCATGGTTTTACAGACCTCTGTCCTGTCCCTCCTTAGTCGTCTCTTCTCTAAGCAGAACGGCACTAATCTTTGTAGTCTCTGCTTGTATGGAAGCTGTTCCATGCCCTTGATCATCATCAACTAGATTTATCCACTCATGGAAGCACTTAGCAAAACGTGACCATTTTCATGCTCTGGCAGCATTTGCTATTGAAATGCCTTCGTCTCCTTTCATCTTTTTTTATTTTGCAGATTTCAGCCTAAAATGCATTAAAGATAAACGGATCCCAATTACCGTTACTGTCGTCATCACAGCGTTGATCATCACCATAATTGCACTGGCGGGTGAGTGAAGGGTCATTACTAACCCAGCTGATTCTCATTCCTTGTCACTGGTTCTTCACTGACTGCTTGTCCTAGCCCCAAGGTCACGGTGCCCACTTGCGTTTCCCACGGCCTCTTCTCACCCCGTCTTTGCCTTGGTCTGACTCCTCCATTGAAGCACATTCCCCTTTTCAGAGGGGAAATCTCTCTCCAGACCCTTTCCCCCAAAGAGGAAGGGCCTAACCCCATTCCCTGCCCCCTGGAAAGCAGCCCCACTAGATCCCAGGCCGGGGTAGCAGTGTAGGGATGCAGTGGGTGGGTCTCCCTGCCTCCCAGTCCCTGTGTCATCCAACGCCCAGTCTCACCTTAAATTGTTGTAGGTTTGGGTGCCACCGTGTGGCCATGGCTCACAGCGCGTCTCGAAAATTGTTTCCAATCCATTTATCATTGTTCCTCCTCCCCCATCCGCAGTATGTGTGTAAATGCAACTGGGAGTCTCAGGCAGAGGATTCCGTTCCCCGATCTGGGCCAGTCTCTCGTGGCTTTGGGAGCATTTCTGAATTTCTTTTCTGTGCCAAAGCTCCTCCGTAAAACTCACGTGATGCAGAGAATCTGTCACGCTGTACGAATTCTTCCCATTCCTGGCTGGGCGTCGCTGGCGCAGCGGAAGGGGTGTGTTGGAGTGTGTGCGCCTTGCCCCCAGGAACCGAAGAGTTCCCGGGATTCCTTAGAGAAGACACATGCTGTAGGGAGTGTGCGGTGACAGCTGCCAGTGCTAGAGAGAGGGGCTGGCTGCTTGGCCTCACTGGGCAAAGAGACCTTCACAAGGGATGTGAATGGCTACGGGGAGCAATGCGCTGTAGGGGTCGGGTTGGGCTGCGTGGAGAGTGGGAGACTCTGGGCGGGATCCTTAGACCACTTGACACCACTCTGGGGACTCAAGGTGGATGCAAAGAGCCCTCTGAGAATTCCCCCAATTCAGGGGCCTCCCCAGCTGGTGTATGGGCTCTGCACCCAGAGTGTAGGGGATGGGTTGTGGTTGTGGCCAGAGCATGCTGCATTACAGCTGTTCTGTGCTTCCCAGGTGGCCTGAGAAGCACAGGGTAAGTTAGAGCAACCCTGAGGCTGCTCTAAGTCGCACCGGGGGAAGGTCAGGGCCCTGAATGGCCCCGGAATACAGGAAGCACAAAGCCAGCATCTCTTCAACATGTGCCAGACATCCGCACGTGCCAGCATTTCTACCGATAGTTAATGCGTCTTTGCGTTGGGAAATCACGTGGCTGGTATAAGTTTCCAATGACCCGAACTGAAATTGTTTCTGGCTTTTCAGTTCATGAAAATATTTGACTTTTCTCCCCGACTCAGGAAAGGAAAATTCTGTGAAACCTCGAACGTTTTTGCAGGATCTTGGGAAAACCGTTTACCGCATCCCTCTTGTTAGGTTCCTTTGCCCTCAGTTTTAGTGGCTGCTTTAGTGGCCTGTTTTAGTGGCCTGTGTGGAACGCCTTGGCGAGTGTGTGTGACAGGCCGGCCTTTGGGCCCAGCCACAGAGAACATGAGTTGTTCTAGCCCCACCTAGTGGCTCTCGGCTCTGATATTACGGGTCTCGCTCTTCGCTCTGGAGGGCCCCAGTTCTAGCCCTGGTGTGGCAACCGTCACATGTGTGTACGGAGGATGGTACGTCAAGGGGGAGACCATGAAATGCAGCCAGCCCTTCCATTTTTCACCCCTTGCCCCAAGGTTTGGGGGTCATGGGGGATAATCCGCTGAACACTAGCTCCCAGTGGGGCACTGTGGCCAAAGCCGCTAATGCGACCCTGGGACGTATAACCAGGGGAATCTCGAGTAGGAGCCGAGAGGTTATTTTACCTCTGGATTTGGCCCTGGTGCGACCACTGCTGGAATCCCATGTCCAGTTCTGGTGCCCACAATTCAGGAAGGACGTTGATAAATTGGAGAGAGGTCAGAGCTGAGCCACAAGAAGGATTAAAACCTGCTTTATAGTGATAGACTCAAAGAGCTCCATCTGTTTACAAGAGAAGGTTAAAGGGTGACTTGATCCCCGTCTACAAATACCTACATGGGGCACAAATATTTAACATTGGGCTCTTCAGTCTAACACGATCCAATGGCTGGAAATTGAAGCTGGACAAACTCAGACTGGGAATAAGGCATCAGCTGTTAACAGTGAGCGTTAGTCACCCTCGGAACGAGTTACCAAGGGGCGCGGTGGATTCTCCATCACTGACCGTTTTTAAATCACGATGGGATGATGATGTAAAAGTTCCGCTCAAGGGATTATTTTGGGGCAGTTCTAAGACCCGTGTGATGCAGGAGGTCAGACTAGATGTTCACAATGGTCCCTTCTGGTCTTGGGATCTCTGCAAATCGACAACCCAGGGCCGAGACGTGTGGGTCTTAGTGCCCTCTCTGGCCAGAATTCCCATGCAGAGACAGACACCAGGGATAGGCCCATCTCTCACCACTGTGCTACTTGCTTATTTTCAGCCAAGAAGATGCCCCCCTGCCCAAGCTGCCCGTCCCACGTCACTGCTGCGTGCCCGGATGGCTGGGTGGGATTCCAAGGGAACTGCTACTACTTCTCAGAGACTGAAGGGAACTGGAGCGCCAGCCAGAGCCACTGCTCTTCCCTCAGCTCCTCCCTGGCTTCCATTGATTCCCTGCCGGAGCTGGTAAGGAAGAGACACGAACCTTCATAACCACAGCTAGGGACATGCCAGAGCCTGGCACCCCCTGAAGGCCTAAAGCAGCTCCTAGATTCAAGGAACTGAATCCCCTGCGGAGCTGGTTGTAAAATAGAAATTCAGGGGCAGGATTTGACATTTTTTAATAGAAAATAGTTGATTTTCCCCCCAAATGTCATTTCAGTTTGGGGTTTTTCAAATCTCATTTTTCAAAATTTGGGGTTCCCTCCCCCTCACCCTACCCCCCCCCTTTTTTTTTCCTTTTTCCACATCATTTTATACTGGAAAAACGGAGGAAAAAGAAAAAGCATGGGGAAAAAGGTGTGGAAACCCACCTTTAAAAAACAAAACAAAAAAACTATTTCCCAAACTTTTCCCAGCAGGAAAACAGTGCAAATGTTACTCTGAAAAAGAAAGGAATATTTTCATCTCAAAAGTATATGCCTCGTTTTTATCTATTGTGACGGGGCAAGGCCAGATGGCTACAGTGAAGTAGTGCGGAACAGGTATGTTAGCCCCAGGCTAAACAAACCCCTGGTACCATGGTAACCAAATGGCAGTTGCTCCAGGTTAATCAAGACACCTGGGGCCAATTAAGATCCTTCTAGAAGGCAGCGGAGATAGCTACAGTGATTGGGACACCTGAAGCAAATCAAGGGCTGGCTGGAACTAGTTAAAAACCTCCCACGTTAGTCAGTGAGGTGTGTGTGTGTGTGTGTGTGTGTGTGTGTGTGTGTGTGTGTGTGTGTGTGAGGAGCTGGGAGCAAGAGGCGCAAGGAGCTGAGAGGGAGAGGGTGTGCTGCTGGAGGACTGAGGAGTACAAGCGTTATCAGACACCAGGAGGAAGGTCCTGTGGTGAGGATAAAGAAGGTGTTTGGAGGAGGCCATGGGGAAGTAGCCCAGGGAGTTGTAGCTGTCACGCAGCTGTACCAGGAGGCACTCTAGACAGCTGCAGTGCACAGGGCCCTGGGCTGGAACCCGGAGTAGAGGGTGGGCCCGGGTTCCCCCCAAACCTCCCAACTCCTAATCCAACACAGGAGTAGTTGACCGAGACTGTGGGTTCCACCAGAAGAGAAGATCACTGAGGGGAGCAAATCCGCCAATAAGTGCAGGACCCACCAAGGTAGAGGAGGAACTTTGCCACACTATCTATATCTATATAATTTAACCAGCAATAAAGACAAGTGCAAAGTTCTTCACCTAGGAAGGAAAACTCAAATGCATGAAGGCAAAATAGGGAATAACTGGCTAGGCAGTAGTGCTGTTGAAAAGGATCTGGGGGTTCCAGTGGATCACAAATATGACTATGAGTCGACAATGTGACGCTGCTGAGAAAAAGGCGAATCTCATCCTGGGGTGTATGAACAGGAGTGTTGTATGTAAGACACGGGAGGTGATTGTCTAGGTTTATTTTGTCCTGCCTGAGCATGGGGGGCTGGACTTGATGATCTCTTGAGGTCCCTTCCAGCCATTCATTTCTATGATTCCCCAAAGTTGGGAAACTGTAAGAAAATGGGAGGAAACCCCCGAGGTACAAAATGGGGGGAGGAAGAAGTATTTGGGCTTTTTAAATAAATTTTTCCTGAGCAAAAAATCTGAACCCCTTTGCCCTGTGTAGTTTGACTGGCAGCTCTTTGGACGAGGGACCAGCTTTCTGTGTGTGCAGCACCTAGCGCGTGGGGGCCCTGATCCCCGTGAAGGCGGCTGTAACACAGCTAAGGATATAATGTGTGTGTTCTTATCCACAGGATTTCATGTCACGCTATAGAGGGATCCCTTACCGCTGGATTGGCCTCCAGAGGGAACCAGGCGAGGGCCAGCCCTGGAAGTGGACCAACGGTACCATATTCAACAACCTGTGCGTCCCTTTTCCTCATTCGCTTTCTCAGTATTAGGGCGCAGAGAAATGCAACAAAACCCTGGGCTGGGTGGAGAACGGGGATTGAAAGCGAGACCTTAGGCTCTTAAAAGCCTGATTCTCTACTGCCTGAGCTACAGGGCTAGTTCTGTGGAGGTTGCACCTGGAGGAGACTTGTAGACCTCTTCCATAGCGTAGGCACCAGAGGAGGACAGAGAGCCCCACTCGGGTAATGTGGATGACACAAGTGGGACTGGTTGGAAAAATTCCAGCTCAAAGTTTTCCCTTATGGAAAATCTGGTTGTGTTGAAAGCAAAATTTCCTGCAGGGAAAGGTCACTTTGGATGAGATTTTTCCTTTGTGGAAATTGACTCAAATGTTTATTTTCAGTCAACCCCGAATGAAACATTTTCATTTTGGTTTGCCTGTGGGGTCGCTGCAGCACATCGTGGGAATTGTAGTTCTGTGTTCTTCCGGTCCCATTTGTGTCTGGTCTTTGACCAGACAACATCTCCCATGATGCACTGCAGTGTCTCACTCATGCATGTTCTTATGTGGTATTTTGGTGGTAGGAAGACACTGCAGTGCATCATAGGAGGTGTAGTCCAGCTGGGAATCAGGACCTATAGGAGAGAACAGTGGAAGAACCAAGAACTACAGTTCCCACGATGCCTGGCATCAGCCCCACGGTCTATCTATCTAATGACAAGGTTTCATTTTGGGTCAACCTAAATCATTTTTTGGGGGAGAGAGGAAGAGAATTTCTGTTCTTTAGGAAATTTAAATATTTTGACTTTTTGTCCCAAAACATGAGAATTTCCCTCAAGATGGAAATTCCATTTGTCACCCACCTCTGTGTAAACGGTTCCCCCTGAATCATTGACGAGCACATCCCATCACTCGTGCACAATGACACCCCACCGAGGGGAATCGCTATGGCTACGGGATGCGGCAGAAGATGCAGCAGCTCCGTGGGGGAGCAGCTCAGTAGCCGCGTTATGGCCTTGCTAAGCACAGCTGGGCTCTGGCTGCCTGGGGCAGAAGGGGAGGCAGAGGAAATGGATGGGAAGTGTGGGGGAGGGCTTGGGAGACCCAGGGGGAGAAGATAATGAGAGGGGCAGGTGGGGCAGCAAAAGGATATTGGGAGAAAGGGGAAGTTGCTGGAAGAGGAGAGTCTGGAGGGAAAGTGAGAGGACAGGTCCATCAATGGCTATTAACCAACATGGTCAGGGAAGCAACCCCATGCTCTGAGTGTCCCTAGCTCTGTTTGCCAGAAACTGGGAGTGGCCGACAGGATCACTTGATAATTGCCCTGTTCTGTTTATTCCCTCTGAAGCAGCTGGCACCGGCCACTGTCAGCAGACAGGATACTGGGCTAGATGGACCATTGGTCTGACCCAGCATGGCCGTTCTTATGAGGTTTGCTTACCCTGAGGTATTGCCTGATTTCCAGTCTAGCTGCACTAATGCGTCCAGTTCTGGTCACCTGTATTCAAGAAAGACTCACTCAGACTGGAACAGGTGCAGTGCAGCGAAGCGCAGCTAGGATGCTCACGGGAATGGAGAGTCTCTCTTATCAGAGGGGACTGAAAGAGCTTGGCTGGCTGAGCCTAGCAAGATGAGAGGGTCTCTCATTGCTCTCTGTAAATACCTCGGGGGTAGACACCTGGGCGGGAGAAGAGCTACTGAAGCTACAGGACAATGTTGGCACAAGAACACACAGGGATAAACTGGCCAGGAATTAATTTGGGGCTGGAAATTAGCAGGTCCCTTCCTATCAGAGGAGGCAGGTTCTGAAGTAGTCACCCCGTAGGAGCAGTGGAGGCGAACCCCCTAACTAGATAGAATACAGAGCCTGAGAAGTCTACGAACAGGCCTATATGCCGGGGTTGCCTGCCATAGCAGGGGGCTGGACTCAGTGACCCAGGAACTCCCTTCCAGGCCCATGTCCCCTCACACACTGGAAAGACCTGCAAGAAACTTCACAACCTCTGTTTCCTGTTCTCTGTGAGCCGGATTTTTCAGGGGCTCAGTGTCCACTGTGACATTTACAGCTAGAAGTGACTCGCTCAGGGTTGATTAGTAGCAAAGCCTGGTTGAGACCCCAGTTCCCCTGCGTCGTACAGCACTGGACCACATCGCTTCTCCGTACGTGAGCAGGAATGGGAGCCGGCTGCATGTGATAACCCCACACTGCTTCTCATTGCAGGTTTCAGGTCAGAGGGGAAGGGCAGTGCGCTTACCTGAATGAATATGGGGTCAGCAGCTCCAGGTGCTACTCAGACAGACATTTCATCTGCAGCTGGCCGGACCAGTGCTCTAGAAGGAAGCCAAGCGCCGCAGGAGGGGACACAATGTCTAAGATCACTTAAAGGGCCAATGCAGCCTCTTCAGTGGATGCAGAACTTACACATTCATCATCTCTTGTGCAGCATCCTACCTCTCCAACCATTGCTCCCTCCAGATCCCTGCTGAAAAACCATCTTTACAATGCTCACAACACTAACTCTACTACACAATAACACCACTGACATGGTACTACTGGACAGGGGTTTTAGAGGTTTAAATCTAATATTCTGTTAATACTGGAAGTGAATAAGTTATTTAGATTATGAAGAATCCCTGCTTTTATTTAAAGAAGAGTATGTTTCTAGCTCGCTTGGTTATGAATATACCCTGGCAAATCAAACAGAGCCTGAGTCAGATGAGAGCTTGAAACAATAACTCAGAAAAGTGCCCCATTTAATTTATTGACACGTTGACTCTGGAACCTAGTGTCGACACTGACTTCTTTCTTTTTCCTCTACGCTGCTTTTCCTGGTGAGGGTCGCGGTAGCAGCATGGAGAGTAGGGAGGACCAGACCTCCCTTTCCTCCACAACAGATTCCAGCTCCTCCTATGGGGGATTCCCAAGCATTCCCAGGCCAGCTGGGAGATATAATCCCTCCAACGTGTTCTGGGTTGGCCTCGGGGCCTCCTCCCAGTGGTACATGTTCAGTAGAGTTCGAAAGGAAGCCTACCAGGGGGTAACCTTACCCTGTCTCAGACAGTAAGCCCAGCAACCCTGCGGAGAAACCTCATTTCCACCGCTTGTACCCGTGATCTCGTCCTTTCAGTCATTACCCAAAGTTCATGGCCATAGGTGAGGATGGGGACATAGATTAAACTGTAAACCGAGAGCTTTGTCTGAGAACTCAGCTCCCACTTCACCACCACAGATCGGCACAGTGGCCTCATCACTGCCACCACCTCCCCAATCCGCCGGTAGATCTCCCGCTCCCATTTACCATCACCAAGTGATAGCTCTGCCCGTCTCTGCACCCAGATGTCCAGAACATATAGACTCCCTCCGAGGATCGTTACCTTGTCGTGGTGGAGGGGCTTGCGTGTTCCGATGAACCCCAGGGCTACGTCGTCTGGAGCCTAGTGCTCCTGGGAGGGTGACCCTAGACGAACAGGTCTGGGGGGAGGTTCCAGACTAAAAACGATCCCGCACAAGATGCTCATGAAAGCCCAACAAATGAGCACGTGAACCTCGCCTAGATTAGGAATATCGGACCCACCCCTGAAGCCAGGCCTGGGGCTGGTGTTAGTGAGCGTCTGATGGCCAAGCAACCCATGTAACCCGGCCGGGCCTAGCCCGAAAAGGGGACAGGGGCTCAGCACCCGCGAGGCAAAGAGTGAGGGTTGGGTGCGATGCCTGAATGGCAGCAGGAGGGATGGACCACGACGGACTGGCCTCCGCGATGGAGACTGGCCTGACACTAAAATACAGGCAGAGGCAGCTATTCTTTGAGCTAAAGAACCAGACTTGTGAACAGCAGCTACTGCAGGGGGACAGAGACCCTGAGTGTGGGATACAGACCCTTACACTTGGGAAAAGGCCGAAGAGACTGAACCAAAGTCGGGGTAAGAAGTAGCCAGTGGATCTTGGAAACATCATTTGAAGCTGGGACTGGACGACACGGGATGGATCACTTGATAATTGCCCTGTTCTGTTCATTGCCTCTGAAGCAATTGCCACCAGCAACTGTGGGAAGACAGGACACTGGGCTAGATGGAGCATTGGCCTGACCCCGTATGGCTGCTCTGATGAACTTTATTTTTGTGCGTGTGTTTTTGAGTAGATCTGATCAGAATTTGACAAGAAACATTTTTTAACAGTGTTTTCTCCAGGATTTTTTTGCCATCCTTTATTTATTTATTTTTATTCTGACTGAAATTGTGAATGGGAGAGACTTAGCATCTCTCATCATGTGCATTTAATTCATTGCTCTGAGCTAAGATTGGGTCGGGAGAGCTCCTGGAAGGGTTTAGTCACTTCCCCTGGGCTGTGTAAATACCAGAGTAACCCAAAATGACTCCCAGTCAGGAACCAAATTAGTGGCCAGGTTTTCAATAGATTCATGTAGGTTAAGGCCAGAAGGGACCATTAAATGATCTAGTCTGGCCTCCTGCCTAGCACGGGCCAGAGAACTTCCCCCACTTACCCCTGTATTGAGCCCAATAACTTCTGTTTGGCTAAAGTCTATCTTCCAGAAAGGCACCAGTCCGGCGTCCGGCTCACCAACGCCATATACAATGAGCTGAGCTGTTCTGAAACTCTGCCCTAAGGGTCACAAGGGGAGCTGTCATGGTGGTTGAGGGAAATCTGAGGGTCCTTAACTTGGAGCAGAAACTAAAGCAAAAAACAAACAAAACACAAACAGAAAACTGAACCCGAGTCGTAGATTCCAAGGCCAGAAGGGACCGCGGTGGTCATGTCGTCTGACTTCCTGTACAATACTGGCCAGAGACCTGCCCCCAAATAATTCCCGCTTAAGCCGGGCCTCCCATTTTGGATTACTCTGGTGTTTAAAATAGACAAGTAAATAAACCTTTGTTTTGGTGGGAGGAAAAATCAACCAACCAACCCTACTTCCTCTCACTTTTAAAAACTCTTTTCCCCACGGCGGGAGGGAGGGATGGGGGAAATATTTTTTAAAGAGAGACAGAAAGTAGTGTGTGGGGGGGAGGGTTCTTTCCAGAATTTTTCATTTCAAAATCTTTTGTCCAAACAAAGAAAAAGAAATGAAATTCAACCAAAATGAACACATTGGGGAGGGGGAAAAGGGGCTAGACATTTTCTTTTTGTAAAAAAGTTATTTTCTGTTTAAGCAAAATGTTTCTGGTCTATTGATTTGTAGATAAATGACATGTTTCTCTTCCCTTCCCCTTAACATAGATTCCTTGCTGTGAATTGCTTATAATCTAAGGACAAAGTGTGCCTTCCCTGTTTGGAAAGTGCCTTGTACAGGACAGCCTGTAAATTGCTGGGCAGGAAATGGTTTTCCCATACGACAAAAAATATTGATATAAAAAAAAAATTACTGTCCCAAATCGGGATGAAACCATTCCACAATTTCCCAAACAAGCGGAGAGCAACCCACTCCCCCACAGTGAGTGCACTCACCTGAGAGGTAGGAGATACAAGTAAGTCGCTGCTCTGAATGGGACAGATCAGGGACTTGACCGGGTTTTTTTCACATCCCAGGTGAGGGCCCTGACCCCTGGGCTATTCTCACATGGTCTGTCCTGGCTGTGAGAACTCGTCCCAAGGAAAGTTTTACCAAACCAGCTCTGTTTCCGCAAAAAGTTTTGGATTCACTGAATCGGCATTTTCAAACAAAAAGCTGCTTTATCAAAAGATTCCTGACCAGCACTAGTGGGACTCTCCCAGAAACAGATAACGAGGCTGGCATTCGTTATCACAGCACTAACACACAGCAATAACACACACTAACACACAGCACTAACACACAGCAATAACACACAGCACACTCTGGGGGGTGCAAAAAAGGAGCCTGACAGAAGTTCTGATCCAAAGCTTATTGAAGTTACTGGAAAAACTCACAGGACCAGATCCTCAAAGGTGGGAGATGAGAACCTAAATACCTTTCAGGTTCTGGGCCCCATTAACTTCACTGAGCAGCCCCCTTTGACACTGTCATACCAGTATCCCCTGTACAGCACTGCCCCCTAGAGACTGAATTACAAATTATTGTTTTAATGTATGATACTTTAGAGATTACCTTGTGCTAGACTCTGTAAAATACCTTACTCTGACCATGTGCTCTACCTGTTGCCGTTTGTCTTACACTTGTCTGTTCTGAGTTTGTACAGCCCCTAGCACAACTGAGTCATGCTCCATGACGGGCTAAGTGCCACTACAGCACAAATGCAATGGCACCGTCGCTCTTTACAGTGCATGGTCTGTGCGCCGGTGAGTTCTTTGATGGCTGCTGAGTCCGATGGGCGAGTGACACAGGTACGACACACCCACACATTAGCAACGCTCTGAATCCGAGCAGCAGATGCCGGTCATCACAAAGTTTGATCCAATTCACCTCGCTCCATCTACAAGTTGACTCTGCCAACCGGCGCGGCATTCTGCGTTCCTTTCCCAATCATCCACAGAGATTCCAAAGGACACTACGTCAGCTTTGCAAGCATCCCGGAATCTGCGCAGCGGTCTGCCTCTCTTTCTAGATCTTTTGTGAGCGTCAAAGTCCTGCAAACTCTTCGGGATCCTGTAATCCAGCAGTCACGTGACATGACCAAGCTGCCTGAGTCCTTTCTTACTAATTAACATTCCCATAAGTGACATACCAGCACGATTTAGCACTTCTACATTTGTCACCCCGTGTTGCCGTCTTCTTTGAAGAATTTTACTCAAGCATCTGACATGGAAGCTGGTTAGTCTCCTGGTATGTTTGGCGTAAATCATCCATGTTTCTGAGTCATACAGAAGCGTGGATAACACACACGTCTTATAAATACGGATTTTCACTTTAATGGACCATTTGTTATTGTTCCAGGCTCTGTCTTGCAAAAGACAAAAGTTCCCGGCAGCTTTGCTGATTTGCTAGTGAGTTCAGTGTCAAGATCTACATGGCTGGTAACAGTAGAGCCAAGGTAGCAAAACTGGTCCACGCCATCCAGACGAACACCCCCTAAGGTGATATCTGGAACTCGGTCTGAAGAGCCCTGGGGCATGAAAACTGTCTTCTTCAAGCTTCTTGCTAGCCCAGAGATTTTGCATGAATCAGAGACCTTGGTAATAAGCTGTTGCAGGGCATCAACACGGTGAGCCACAAGGGCTGCATCATCTGCAAACAACAGGTCCCGTATGATGATCTCCTTCACCTTCATCTTAGCTCTGCACCATGCAGTGTTAAACCCACCTCCGTCCTCTCTGGTGCTAGTACAGACACCCCCTCGGACATCACGGAACCCACCTTCCAGCAGGAGTGGGAAGTAAATATTAAACGCTGTAGGAGCCACTACGCAGCCCTGCTGCACTCCATTGTTGATAAGCGACGTTAAATGACTGGGGATAAGTGTCACTTGTAATACCAATAAATAATAATAGACAAACATATAACAAAAAGCTGCCCCAAAGAGTTTACAATCTAAGTGTAAGACAACAGTCAGGGAGAGAACCAGAAAACAATGAGAGGAGATTGTTGCAGGACTTTCATTCTAACTGTCTAAGCCAGTGGTTTCCTGTGCTCCGCGGACCCCTGGGGATCTGCAGACCATGTCTAAGATTCACAAAGGGGTCTGCACCTCGATTCGAAATTTTGCAGGGCTCTGCAAGTGAAGAAAGGTTGCAAACCAATGGTTTAAGCCAGGGGTTCTCAAACTGGGTATTGGGACCCCTCAAGGGGTTGCAAGGTTATTACATGGGGGGTTGTGAGCTGTCAGCCTCCAATCCAAACCCTGCTTGGCCTCCAGCATTTATAATGGAGCTAAATATAGAAACAAGTGTTTTTAATTCATGGGGGGGGTCACACTCAGAGGCTTGCTGTGTGAAAGGGGTCACCGGTACAAAAGTTTGAGACCCACTGATCTAAGCCATGGGGCTTAGGGGATTTGCATCTTATTATTTCTGTGTCACAGTGCCTGGGGGACCCTGTCGTTCTGCTTCTCTTCTCTAGGTGACCCCTGGACTGTCCCATGATAGACGCAAAGTGTGATCCAGGGACCCCTTAGTGCCACCTGGCAAAGGGGCCAGCGAGGGGGTCCAGGGCGTGAGTCTCACATTCAAGTGCGTGTCACTGGTCACTAATGTCATTGTGAAACACAAGTACGGCTGGTGTGCAAGCAATTCTGTGTAGACACCGACCGTTATGGTCCCAGTGTCGGTGTTTAGGCGGGGGGTCACCCGCAAAGGTGTGAACCAGGTTTTCTGTCAGACAAAGGCTGTTTCTGTCTCTGGCTGTTTACAGGTAAATTAAGTGCGGGATGGTTCACAGTGGGGCTCCTCTCCTGGGTCTGAACCAAACACTAAGGAAGGATGAGGGGGAGGAGGAACCACACAGAGAGAAAAGTAACAGGATGGACAGTGTCAGTTACGCTGCTTCTACCTCCATTTATAACTGGAAATTAAACCCTGTCGCTGTAGCAAGAACGTCAATGGCCTGTTGCTACTGCAGTCACTGAGTAAGTAGAAATTGGCCCCAGCTTCTGGGCAAATGCGCTGAGTGATGCATTTGGTCTGTAATAACATGTATGGGGGAAACTCTCTCTCTTGTGGGATTTGCAGGATCTAAGGTTTTCCTAAATCTTCCTCACACTCACCCAATAAATGTGTTATTTTGTCAGATGCTACCTGGTAGTTTGTGGCCCCTCACCTGACTCCCAGAGATGTGCCTGTCCTGCAGCAGTCCTTGCATTCAGAGGAGTGTGTTTATTGCCGCTGGGTGTCCCAGTGGAGGTGTGACAGCCGCTGTCATGGCTGACACCCCAGGAGTTGAGCCAGGGAATGTACAGAACAAGACGCAGGAGCTGCCCTGGGCTGGAGCTGCAGGGCCAGGCTTTGTAGCGACGGGTGTAACGGACGTCGATCCTCTGTGGAGCAGGCGCCGGCAGCGACCTGTGACCCGCACTGACCAGTGTGTTACAGAGTCACTAATGGATCCGGGCAGAAATTTTTCGACAGGCCATTTTTCCTGTCGGGAAAATGGTGATTCATCAAAGATCAAGACATTCTGCAGGGACGTGTCTATTTTGACAAAAGTTTGGACAGAAACTTACCTGGTGGCCTGCCCGCCTGGCTCCTCAGCCGCCCACCTGGTGGCCTTCTCAGGAGCCTGAGTTGTCAGACTCCCAGGTCCTCAGCATTGTGTCAGGTGGGGAGCTGGGTCTCCCAGGGCTTCCAACCTGTTTGGACATTTGCCCCCAGTGGGATGCCAGGGAGCTGGAGAGGTGGGACTGGACGGTTTTGCAAACAATTTTTTTAACAATCCCTTCTGTGGAAAGTATCGCATAGCTGACCATTAGTTCCTATTGGGAACACACTCTCTCTCTCTGTGCTGGAAATGTGGAATTTTCCATGGGAGGGAAATCATAGTTCTAAGTCTACAACAGTAACTGTTGGTTCAAATGAAAAGTTTTATTGGGGGATTAGAGACATGTGACCTTGTGTTTTGAGTTCCCTTTCAGTCCTGCAGCAAACCGCATTGATGAACGGAATTCAAAGCATTAATCTACGGAATACTTCACCCCCCACCCGCCTTTCCGTCCACCAAAACAAACCCCGATATTCACCCAGAAAAATTATGAATTGGTTTTTGCCCTGATTTTCACCTGTTTTTTCTTGTGGTAACACAGATAAATTCCCCGGGGAAAATGAAACCTCCCTATGCAGTTTATTCCAGTGCTTAGCAGCTTCCCAGCAGGGCTAGTGGAGACAAGTGAGATCATACAGATCATAATCATCAACTCTGTCCATTCATCTCTCCCTCTTCTCCTCCTCTCCCACGGCCCCCGTCCAACGTTACCGCTCTGATTGGCATCGTGAACAGCCAATGGGAGAAGGAGTGGGCGGGCTCAGGAGATAAAAGGCAGGAGGGGCTGAAATGCTGCAGTGCAATCAGTCACTGCAGGGAGCAAGTGCGATGCATTCAGCTCGCTGCAGCTGCTTGGAATCATGGTAAGTGATGGCTTGTGTCCAGGGGAAATTTGGGGGTGGGAGGGGTTAGTGGATTTCTTAAAGGGATGTGGTTGTTGGAGGCAGAAGAGGGGAAACCCCCAAGGGTGTGGGGGAAACACCCGAGAAGGGACTGAGGGTTTGACATCTGCGGAGAGCGGATCCGAGGGTGGAGAAAAGGTGTGTTCAGGGCGGTGAATTGATCGGCTTGGTGGCGTTTCTCTGTGTCTGGCTGACTCTGGGAAGCTGCAGCTGATCGGCTGCAGGATGGCAGGGGTTGGGCTGTGTGGATCAAAGAGCCGGGTACTGGCAGCACCTTCCAGCATCACCTCCTCCAGCTCAGCTCTGGCCCTGTGCCCGGGGCGTCTGGCAGGTTGGTACCTTGCGTGATTGATCGCCCAGAGGAAAAGAAATGAGTGTGTGCGGAGAGGGGGAGCACAGAGCCCTGGGGGCGGGGGGGGATAAGAACGGCCCTGCTGGGACAGACCAAAGGTCCATCTAGCCCAGTGTCCTGTCTCCGACAGTGGCCAGTGCCAAGTGCCCCAGACGGAATGAACAGAACAGGCAATCATGGAGTGATCCATCCCCTGTCACCTGTTCCCAGCTTCTGGGACATTGTGGGGTGCTAGTATGTGGGAAGGGGGAGCACAGAGACCTGTGGGGGGATTGGACATTGCGGGGTGCTGGGATGTGGGGAGGGGGAGCACAGAGCCCTGTGAGGGGATGGGACATTGCGGGGTGCTGGTATGTGGGGAGGGAGTTGCACAGAGCCCTGTAGGGGGATGGGACATTGTGGGGTGCTGGTATGTGGGGAGGGGACTGCACAGAGGCCCTGGCATGGGGGCAGAATGGGGGATCCTTGTATCTGGGGAGGGAGTGGCTTGGAGTCCCTACAATAAAGGAGGATGGGAGCTTTGGAGGTTGGGGGGAGGTGGGATGGATGGATGCAGGTAGCCCACAGAATGTGCAGGGAGCTTGGCTTGCACAGGCTGGGAACTGTGGGACCCCCGGTTGGGTTCAGGGCAATGTGTGTGTCTGTTTTGCTGGGGGCCGCGAGGAGGAAGGGCTGTCACAAGGACACAGGGTGATTTCTATTATCCTGGGGCCTGCTTGTCTCCATCCAGCTGCCTGGATGTACCTCCCCTGGGCCACACCCTCAATGCCAGGGGAAAGGGAGTGGGGTTTCCGAATGTAGGCAGGGCCGGGGCATCTGTGGGCGGATGGGAGCCAGGGGCCATACAGAACAGATGGGCGATTGGGTTTGCTGAATCACCTCCCTTCCTATGGGGCCTCATGCAGGGAGAGCCGCAGCCACAACCAGCCCACCCAGCTAGCAGCCGTGCCCTGCTCTGCTCAGATGGGCTGGGGGAAGGATGGAGGGCTCTCAGCAGGGCGGGAAGGAGGTAGCCTTGTTTTGGGAACAGCAGCGCTGGGGTGGGTGGATCTGGGAATGGGGGGAGGGAGGCCCCTGGATTTGAGGGGTGGGGCAGGAGGGGAGATCCATGCTTGCTGGGGGAGGGACGGAGGTGGCTCATTCCGTGGGGAAGGCAGACAGCAGAAGGGGTCTGGTTTGCAGCAGGCAGGGTGGATCCAGGCTAAGGGAGCAGGGTGGGAAGAGGAGTCTGATGGCTGTTTGCAAAGTGAGGGCCTGAGTCGGGGTGCAAAGGGGCTGGAGGGGAGGGGTCAAGGCCCCCCTGCTTTGGGAATATCCCAGAAATCCCCCTCACCAGTGCAGGGGCCTTTCCAGGGCCAGACGGGAACAAGCTGCCCCTCCTGGCCTCTGTGTTACAGGCTGTTCCTCTGCACCCGACGCACAGAGGATCTGGGTTGTTTGAGCCCAGCTCAGCTCACACTGGAGCAGTTCATGCCGTTAGCGCTGGAGATCTGGACTCAGTCCCTGCGGTGTCAGCCAGGCCAGAGGCCTGGAAATGAAGAGGCCGGGCTTAAGGAGGCCAGGGAGGGGGAGAGACGTGCAGTGAACCCCGAATGTTTATTCACCTTCTGGTCTGTTTCTAGGCCTTGTGGCCAGCGAGAAAAGCTGGAAAACATGAATCCGAAAGGCCGAGAACCCAGGAGGTGAATAAACAGAGCCCTCCTTGGAACTCCCAGCAGCCAGCGCACGCTTTTCTTTTTCACCGTTTTCAAGGTCTGCTCCTGTCTCTCTCGTTGCCCAGCGTTCAGAGCCTGTGACGGAGCGAGACTCACTCCTGCGGCGCCTCCTGTCGGTCGTCCTGGGAATTAGCTCTTTTGACCCAGAGCGCCCTCTGCAGGCTGGTGCCTCGCTGCCACTGGCCCCTGTGTCCCTCCTAGACCCGGTGCCACTTGCCCTCGGGCACTGCCCCCTAGCAGTACCCCCGCTCTCTGGGTCTCCCCACCCAGGGGAACCCCCACCCACTATCCCCACCTCACCTCAGTGGCTACTGCCAGTCACCATCTAGCCCCCTTTCACTGGGGCTGACTGCGTGTACAAGCCATTCATCACAGGCAAGGGGGGTTTGGACCTGCTGCCTTGGCCTACCCCTGGGCTGCCCTCTGCAACCCCAGTACCTTTCCGGCCTTTACCTTAAAAACAGGTGTCCTGTGCTCATCTGGTTATCGGCGCTCGGTATCCCAACCCAGGAATACAAACTATAGATCTGAATTGAGCCGCGTGTCTGTGAAGGAACACAGATGTCACTCCGGCATTTGCTTCAAACCTGCTGTTCCAGCCCTGCCTCTCTGGGGTAGCAGCCAGGTTGAAGGTGGGTGGAATTTCCTACTCCAGATATGGGGAGTTTAGGAGGTGTCTGATGTTCGTCACCACAGAGTCTGAGGCCTGGTCTACACTACGAGTTTAGGTCGATTTTAGCAGCGTTAAATCGAATTAAGCCTGGACACATTCACACGACGAAGCCCTTTCTTTCGACTTAAAGGGCCCTTTAAACTGGTTTCTTTACTCCACCTCCGATGAGGGGATTAGCGATAAAATCGGCCTTTGCGGGTTGGAATTTAGTTAGGTTTGATGTAAATCGAAGTTATTGTCCTCCGGGAGTTATCCCACAGTG